GAGCGGTTCCACAGTGGGCTCAGCCTTCTGTATTGTGTTAGATGTCCAGATATGGAGTCCCTCTCCACACCCAAGGGGCTATTGTCTTAACCATTTACTGTTTTTTAGAATTAGATTGTTAGCATAAGGTGCCAGTGGCCTTGTTACCCCAGGCCGATCTCTGTAACTTTCTCCATATCTAATGGCAATCAGCATTGCTACCTGAACTACTATCACCCTCTAGTCTCATGCCCCAGAATGTGAAGTTGTTCACAGTTACATAACAAAGTTTATCTTTGTGTCTTTATTTGTTTCCCATACATAGTGGGATATAAATTGTTACAGCTGTGTAGATGTAGTCCAGGTCTCATTTATCTGAGCAATGATCTCAAGTAAATCTGTGCTTGTTTTCCCAGTGAATAGCAGAATCATGTAATCAGAGCTGGGGAAGTAGTCCATATCTCACTAATTGAGCCATATTTTCATGTAGGCTTTACCTGTGACAATTGTTTTAACCTTTTTATTTCTGACGTTAATTCAGATGTTATTTGTTCATACTCAGCTATCTATCCATCTGGAATATTTTATCTTATTAGTTGCATATAAAGTTTCATTTACTATAGAAATGTGTCTCCAAGAAATAGTCTATACTAATAAAAATAAGAAAGCAAGGTTTTTAATATTTAAATGACCTGTCTTGTAAAAGTTAAAAGAAAAATATGGGAGTATCCCCCAAATAATTTACAGTAAAATATTAAAGTTCAACCAAGGTTTGTATCTAGGAGACGGTAAAGAAGCAATTTATTCCATAATAATGTGTATGTGAGAAGGAAGTTTGAGATAGTGAATGGCTCTTTACCCGCCAAAGCGAAAATAAGATCCAGAACAAGTTTAACTTACATAAGTTAGAACAGCAATAAAACACAACTGTTTAGGTGTAATTTGCTACCAAAACATTCTCCTGCAGATGAGATGGACTCTTAAATCAAGATAGGCCCTCTTTCTCTAAGGAATGTGGCAATTCAATAGATTATTCCATTCTTGATGCAGGATTAATAGGTGAAATTTTATGGTCTGTGTCTTTTAATAAAAGGTGAGATAGTAACAACATTGTGAGGCATATCTGCAAGTGGTCAGGCTGGTGATACTTTAGCTCTATTAGTACTTGGACAACGTATGCTCATATAACTTCCCCAAAAGGTAAAAATACACCTGCAATTCCTTGTACACATCTCCAGTTTTCCATAAAACTGAGATGGAATTTTTTGTAGTTCACTGCTTTTTGTTTGAGATTACCTCAGCCTTTTCATTTCACTTGATTTTCTTTGCTCCTTTGTGATTTCTGTGTTCATTTTGATCTTACTGTCTCATTTTCCCTAATTTTCACTATTTGTAGCTTTGGGCAAGTTTAATTTTCCTGGGCTTCCCTCTCAACGTGTGTTGGCTATAAGCCACATGCAGTCTATAATGGCTGTTTTTTTTCCTTTTTGTCAGAGAATGGAGAACGGTCTGTCCAAGTTCTCTTTATGTTGACTTTCCAATCCCAGCAGTAGAAAACCACTCCAGGAAGTTTCTTTCTCAGCAGCTTTGACCCAGGCAATCAGGCTTCTATCGTAAAACCTTTGTCATCCCTGAAGCAGAAAAAGTCTGTTTTTGACTTTGAGATTGCAGTTCAGTTCCAGGGATATTTCTGCTCTAGCTGAGACTCAACCTTTTCTTCCAAATGCCCCGATCACTCCTAGAGTCAAATCTGATAATGATTCCTGTGATAATCTATGGTATCTTCCTAACAGATTGTCTTATTTCGGATGAGATCCTTCTTTCGCTGAAGTAGTGCAGTCTACTCTCGGCTGTCTTACCTTCCAGTTTAGTGGAAGTTGCACAGAATAGTGGCTTCAGATCTTAGACTACCTCTACTGATGCCAGTTTCTATCTAACAGGAAAGTAGCTCTATTCTCGCCTTCTACTTGTCCGTGCCAGAAAATGTTCTCCATATTACTGGAATAGGTTCATGTTACAGTCTTAATTTCCAGGCTTGACTCCTCTTCCTTTCTTTATGGGTGATTTGATATGATCTGTGAAGCTCTCGGGCTAAAATACTGTGTCCTCTCAGGATTTCCTATATTGGCATTCCTAATCAGCTGTCTCTGGTGTCCATGCATTTTTCCATATGTTTATTATTCTGTATTGCTTAGAGTCAGAGTGTCCTCAACATGTAGGCATGATGAAATCTGCCTTTTCATTCTCAAAAAGCTAAAGCTTGCTTTTCCAGAGATGAGGGGGAATTATTCCCTTTCCTTGATTGCTTTTCTTTTTCTTCTCTAATACCATTCAGTATAAGAGATACGATGAGGGGCACCCTTTTAGCGAGTAGGTTCTCTTGTCTCTTCATGGTAACTGGATTATCCTGAGTGGAATATAACAGTCAAAATTTTCCATTGAAATCAAGTTTCTCTTTAAAACTAAAACAAATAGGTTCATTCATTCTCTAAAGATCTCATACTGATTTCAAGTCTCTAGTGGTTTTCACTGCATCATCTTGACAGGGACTTATGTATAGATTTGCACCGTCTTCTAGACCTACGGATTCCATTCAGTCTTCTTATATCCTGAGTAATTATCCCCAAAGTTCGGATAATGAGAAGAGGCAACAGTATGAGAAATACAGACAAACTATTCCAACATTTCATTGTACTCTGTATTTTACATAGAAGACAGAGATGAGATCTTCCCCAGATCTGCTCCACTCCTGACTTGTTCTATTCAGATAGAGTTGTGCCACGTTCCGTGTGGCCTGAATGGTTCCACTTCAGATATCTGAACCATGTGCAATGTTACCTGCTGTTACAATGTCTAATTTATCTCTAACCCATGAACCTCTAAAGGTTGTTTTATTTCGGAATACAGGGGTTCTTAAAATGTTACTGTAGAATATACAATACTTCAATTTACTGCTACAAATGAAAAATGCAGTTTGGGAAGGAGTCAACAAAGGAACTTTTATGTTGGGTAGCGTCTTATAAAAGTCTTACACAGCATGGAGACTCCTCTATAACTTTTCTACGAAAATGATATATTGTAAAATTCCTTATTTATGTGGATAGTGATAGAAATTAAGTACTAAGTTCAAAAACTAAGAGTTCAGGTCAACTATAGTGTTCCTCATAAAAGTCACACATCCAAAATGTTCCGCTCCAGTACCTTAGATTCATTTTTATAAGGCTTATGTTATTAACCTTTAGTCATTGAGATGCCCATCTAAACTTGAAAGTACATTTTTACAATTTTCAGTTAAACTGTCACTGTACTGACTTAGCTCACTAATAACTGAAGAAAAACAGGTATTATTGGGTTAGTATCAGTGTTAAGGTTGCTTAGTAATATCAATGTCATGGTTAGTATTTAGGTATATCTGAATTAGGATTAAAAAGGTTAGACTCCAGCCTGAAATGAAACTAAAATTTGTCGTCAACAGTATGTGGTAGTTGACTCTTGTTTTCTGAACTGTAAGGAAGTGGAAAGAAACAAATTATATGGAAAAAGGAACTCATGAACTAAATGCTTGTGTGATTTTTATAGCTAACTTTTGCAGGCATATTTGTACATAGATATAGATACAGATACACACAGGCCAAAGGCAGAAAAAGTATGTGCTGTGACATTTAGTAAGAGGGTAAAGACCTGAAGATGTGGGTAGAGCACTAGGCAACAGATAAGTACGTTGAAACTTCTTGGATGAATTCATCCAAGTGCAAACACTGAGAACTGTTTCCCACAGAGGAGAAAATGCCTCTCTCATAAACTGTCCTTTGTAAGTTTTATGGTTTCTTATGACAGTGTAGGAAGACAGAACTGAATAGTCAGAAGAAAAGTTAAGCAGCCAAGTTTTAAATAGCTGACTGGCAGAGATCTCATCCTGCAATCTTTATACAGTGAAAACTCCCATTCCGTGACATTTTTTGAAAAGTATATCCCAATTCTTAGTTAAAGGATTTGAAGGATACGCTTCAGACTTGACATGTCTAAAAAATAGATAAAGAGCTAAATCAGTTAAACAGTTAAATAACTTTATCTTTCTAGAACATAAAGAGTTGTTTTAAGCTGTTTGTGAAAGCTGTTTTCTAATACTTAATA